TTACGAATAAACAAAAGGAAACGTGAAAAAACAATAAAAAACAATAGAAAAAAAAATATGAACATAGGGAAACACAAAGAAACAATATGAAACAAAAATAATAAATAAATAGGTTAAATATTTTTAAAATATTATATTACAAAAAATTATATATTTTCAATTTTCATATTTTTCAATTGTTTTTATATTTTCTTTATTGTTCATATTTTTATTTTCAATTTCTACAACTTACACAAGTTTTAGTTTATTTCAATATTTATAATTTTAATAAATTTTAAGAATCTTATTTTCTATTTTAATTTTATTTTTACAAAATTTAGTTTTATTTTTACCTATTTTGGTTTTATTAAATCTGTTTTTGAAAGTTTTGGACTTGTAAAATTTTATATACTCCGTATTTATTTTCAATTTTACTACTCCCTCCGGTTACAAAAGATCTTGACACTTTGACTTCACAGTTTTTAAGGAAATAAACACTGTTTGACACTGTTTGACACTGTTTTGTGTAAATTTATTTGCCAAATAAGGCAAATAAGGAAGTGTAAAAATCTTTCGTGTACTGCTAAAAATGAAAAGTGTAAAGATCTTTCAGAATCGGAGGGAGTATGTTTTTAGTTTTATATTTATACAATTTACTTTAGATAGTTTTTTTTGTTTTTTTCACTTTGACAATTTGTACGGAGTATTTTGTTATTATCTAGTTTTTAAAAAGTACATTACAAATAAAATATTTTGTACAGACTACGTTTTTATTACTTCATACGTTTTTAACTTTTTAAAAGGTATTTACTTTTATTATTTATTTTTTCTATTTCTTCTACACGTTTTTACGCTTTTTTAATTCATTTTTTAATTTATATTCACATATTCTTAATTTTGATAATTTTTTTATATTTTCCCCTCTTAAGATTTTCCTATTTTTAATTCAGATATTCTTAATTTTAATAATTTTTTGTGACTATATTAATAATTTTGACTTTATGATAAATAAATAAATTTATACACTTTTGTTATGTAGCTTTGACTTTAGAAAAACAAAATATTAGTGACTCCAGGCTCCAGCACATTCATTTAGCTTAGAACGAACTATGGAGAAATGCGGAACTACATATGTTGTTCAGGCCTCCAGCGAACACGTGAGCTCATTTTGAAAATAAAAATCTATCTAGTCTACTTTTGAAAACAAAAACTGAAAGTGAAAAAAATGATATATTTTTCACTTTTCGTCCGTTTGCGAAAAATGCCCTTTCCCAAAGTGGCTAGGGCGGTGGCTCGGGCAGGACCCATGCGGAAGTGGTCTGGGCCAAAAAGATGATGTTGAGCTGATGCCATTCAGCCCAATATCCCAATAGAAATGTTTCATAAATATATGCTCTTACGAGTCAAAATAATTCATTCGTCATGATTATAAGTCAAATTTGTTGATTGATAATTTCTTTGCAACTTGCAGAAGAAATGTCATTGAGATTAATTCGCAAAATATACAGTACGACCGGCATACCATGCGCAGGTATGGCGGTCCAAATACGACACCATTTTTGTTCCGTTTTTCTCTAGAGCATTGTCTCTTTTCTTTTCTTTTCCTTCAAAACTCAAGCTTCCACATCTTTTATGGAGCACTATCAATTTTTTTCTTTTTTCTTTTCTTCAATTATTTTCTTCTCCATCTAAATATTAAAAATTAATTTCAATTTTTCTTATATTCATCTTTAACTAATTAAAATGTAATCGAAAAAACTTTTTTCTTTACAAATTTATTACAAATTTTTCTTAATCCACATAAAATAAGTACAATACATTAATAATCATACACTACTTTTTTACTTTTTTTCTTCAATTGAAATTACTACCGAATTTATAATTTTTTAGAGGCTTTTAAGCCATTGAGTTTGTTTATTTTGATTCTTGAAGTTACATTTGATAATATATCATGAAATTACATGTTCTTCTGCACAAGTTACATCTCAATGTACGTGAATTACATCTTAATATATGCGAGTTACATCTTAATATATGCGAGTTACACCATGGAATAAACTCCAGCTATATCATTTCTATTGCCCTAATATTAAAAATAAAACATATTCACTATTTATAAAAAAAGTAATTAAGCTATTAGGATCAATTTTTCATTGTTTACATTGAAATACTCTCTCCGTCCCTTAAAGTTTGTCACACTTTCCCGAAACGGATGTCCCAAAATGTTTGTCTTACTTTTTCAACTTCCTTATTTGGTAAACAAATCTATACAAAACAGTGTCAAACAGTGCAAAACAATGCCAAACAGTGTCAAACAGTGTCGCTACAGTGTGAAACAGTGTAAAGTCAAATTCATCTCCTTAAAACTTGTGAAGTCAAACTATGACAAACTTTGAGGGACGGAGGGAGTATATCTCAAACACACACAAAAATTCATTGTTCAATTTTCCAACAAGTTACATTCTGTATACACTCAAGTTACATTTGCCATCAACGTGAGTTACATTTGTAATAACACGAGTTACGTTAAAAAATCAACCCCTGCTATTGAAACAAAACAAACTATCTTTCCTAAAAAATTATTTTTTATGGCCATGATATTAAAAACAAAATATATTCACGTTTTACCTAAAGCAATTGTGCAATTAGACTCTTTTTTTTCATTGTTTACATTGAAATCAATATTTGACAAGTTACATTTTGGTTGGGCTTGAGTTACATTGATCAATAACGCGGGTTACATATCTTTACACACAAGTTACATCAAAAAATCAACCCCAACTATTGAAACAAAAAAAATGATCTTTTTTAAAATCCTTTTGATGTTCATGATATTAAAAACAAAACATATTCACGATTTAAGTAAAGTAATTATGGATTTAGACTCTCTTTTTTATTGTTTACATTTTTCATAATGTGAGTTACACCACAATGAATTAAATGTGAATGCACTGTATTTACATTTAAAAGTAACGCGAGTTACATACCAAAATAAAGGATTTACATCACGAAAAAAATTGAAACAAATGCAAGGACACTGTTAACGCGAATTTTAAGCCTGAGAGTACGATGCTCACCATGCACCGGTTGCACGGTATACAGAGTGAGATTAAATGAGATGAACGTACTACATATAGTCTTATATTCATGATGATATGATGTAGTCAAAATCAAATTGAAAATATAGTCTTTGAATTGCCGTATTTCACGTATCCCATTAAAAATCTCTAAAAAGGTGATTCATTTGGTAAGCATTTTTAGTATGTAATCAAATTGAAAATATAATAAATGTATGGAAAACAATTAGAGTTCAAATTAAGTAATTATTAGAAATTTAGAAGATGGCGCGGACATATATACGGATAAGAAGCCCATACAATCCTCATCGAATACAATCACTTTTCATCCTTACCAAAAGGATAAGGCTGTACTTTTCGTCCACTTATAAACAATGGAGGACATTAGAAAGGCAATCGTTTGGACTAATAGCTAGAGGATTCTCCTTAAATATTTGCTATCCAAATTACTTAAATTATTATTACCCTTTTGACCTGTTATTGTTTTTTTCCAGTTGGCAATTAGTACCTTTGGTCTGAACTCTGACGTCCTGGGCTTTAAGGAATTTGTAGAGTTGGCTGTTAATATGCTAATATGCTACTACGTAGAACCCAACTTGAGATACACACTTTCTACGTGTTCTTACACACTCGTATCTGTGTAGACGTTTTTTTGTCCGTCCCAGACAAAACATAATTTTGAGGCACTTTATGCAGCCATCTTACACATTCATGTAGTTGGTAATGTGTAAAGTATTTTCAAAAAATAGGTAGTACGGAGTAGCTTATATTCCGTATTACTATGTATTAATCTACGAGTAAATTTTAAGTTATAAGAGTTAGTACATTAAAGTTACATACTTCGTAAGTTTTGATTTTTGAAGAAACTAATTTTGAAACTGGAAATGAGAGGTTGGTAAACAATTATACTCCCTCCGGTCCTAAATAAAGTTCAGTGTTTGACTTCACACAAATTAAGGAAATAAATTTGACTTTACTGTAGAGTACACTATTGTGACACTGTTTAGCACTGTTTTGCATTGTTTGGCACTGTTTTGCACTGTTTTGGTGTAGATAATTTGCCAAATAAGGAAGGGAAAAGAAATGTGAACTTTATTTTGGACCGGTCCAAAAAGGAAAATGTGAACTTTATTTAGGAGCGGAGGGAGTAGCTCTGAGTCCTCTCAGTATATTAGCATCAGAAAGTGGAAGTTGCAATATCAAATGGACAGGAACACAAATAATTGTGAATTTTAAAATAATTGTCATATTTTTATTCTCTAACTAGTATGTAATTATTGTCAATCTGTCGTGTTAATTTTAGCATTAACAAATTTAAAAATGACAGTATTTTTAAAGCTTGTCGATAGTTACTAATTAAATAAAAACATGACAGTAATATTTTAGAATTATAAAATGTTTGTAGTCGAATTTTGCTACTAATAATATTGCAATAGTAGAATATTGTGCGGTTTACAAAGTTGGAGAATTAAACCCTTCCATTGATGAAGCGGCCAAACTATAGGCTTAAATATAATAACACACTAGATTTTGAATAACCTACATCCATCACAACTTATCAAGTCCAATATAATAACACATTAAAATGAACAAAATTATATTATACTCCTTACGTTCCAATTTGTTTTGTAAAATTTCCTTTTTTGTTGTCCCAAAATGATTTCTCACTTCCCATTTTAAGTATAAAGACTTGAACAAATTGACGAGTCTGGCCTTCTCCTTACCCTTCTAATTTTCCATCATACGCATCCACTTTACCCGCATGACGACATCAGTACAGCCTATTTTCTTATCCACCCATCTATTGAGAAATTTGTTCCTAGTAGGACCAATTCATAGATCTTTTACAAAAACAATACCTACTAATGTTTTTTCCATTCATATTACCTATTTAGTTCTAGATTATAAAACCTATTTCTAACTTTCCAATTTTGCCCTTCAAAGAGTTCAAACGGGTAGCTGAAGAAAAGGAACGCCGCCGCCACAGGCTTGCTAGTCAGATTGTCGACAAGGCAGCAGATAGTGCTTTCAAAACTGCGGCAACGGCCACGGTCGATGGAAGCAGCAACTCTGATTTTGGAATTGTAGATCTGGAATCGCACCTCCATCTCTCTTCTTCGTCGCACCTCCATCTTCGCCGGAATCGTCGCACCTCCGTCTTCGCCGGAATCGCTACAATTAGGGCGGCGGCGCACCAGGCCCTTCTTATTTTCCCCTTCTCCCTGCGGGTCGGAGCATTAGACTGATTGCTTTCCAGAATTTATTGTTTATTTATCATTTACTTATTGTCTATTTATTGTCTATTTAATGTCTCTTATTTTCTAAAAGTAAGAGTATTGTGGTCAATGCAGATGTAATTGAGTCTTACGTTAATCTTCGGTCTTAATTTTGGAAAATCCGTACATTTTACTCCTACTTGTTGAAATCTCCCCCATCTATTATCATGATTACCGATCACTTTCAACCACCTCTCTCCCCATTTTCCTATCTGAAGCAACATCACCACTGTAAACGGCAATTCCACCTCCTCCAATCTCCATGGCAAGATTCATTTTTCCTTTTGAAGAAGAAGACGGACAAATCTGCCTTAGCTAATCCATCAGTATTGGCTTCGACAAAATTTCTTAAAAATCACTAGATCTGACACGCCTTGAAGGCAGCGGCCACTGGAGAAGGTTGAACGAGATTAGTCGCCGACGCGGTGCCACCTCGAACAACCTTGCAGATGACTCACTGGAGTCCTCGTTGAACACTAAGTACTTGCGTTGCGGGTCGTACTATTGAAGCAATGGACCACAGTCAGTTGATTGGAGGCTTGACGTATCTGTAGGGATGGTGAAGAGGCTACTATTAGACAGACGAAAGTCACGAAACCCCAACATTCAGCTCCGGCCATTAGAGTTATTTCCCTATTTTTCTATAACCATGTAGAATAAAGGTGCACAGTATGCATACCACAATGTCTGGCAAATATTGTAATTGCTCTGCAAAAATTTTACCTAGTAGCTTTCTAGTTTTTGGTTTTGTTAAAAGGACAAAATGGTAAAAGTAAATATTCATTCATATTCTTTCTTAATTTCCGTGCCGGTAAACTTTTGAAATAAATTTGGGACAGAGAGAGAGTAGCAATAAATATTTTGCATTATTGAGTTTTCATAATTGATACGGGAGTACCTCATTTTACAATACTTTAGAAGGGGGGCCAACTGGCCAAGCTTACAAAGTCATCTGGAAACACTTCATTCTGAGGCATACAGTGGGGGGCTGGTCGTCCACACCCCTCCGTCCGTGCTTCCCATCACCGACCTCATTTTAAGGCTTTCATACCTTTACGGACAGTGAATAATAATTATTATTATTACTAATATTATTATTACTCCTTCCTCCTTCCGTCCCGCTAACAATGAGATAAGAGGGAGTGACATGCAAATTAATAAAAAGTGCTTTATGTGGTTGATATTAAATTGATAAAGTAAGAATACAGTAAGAATGATTTAGAGCCACACGAACTTTACCAAATTTGGTATGAGACAATCTTAGTGGGACGGACCGATAAGGTAAAATGGGACATTCATAGCGGGACGGGGGTAGTATTATTTTATTATTATTATTATATATTATTACTATTATTACTATTGTATCATTATTATTAAAGTATTACTAACAATAATAAAATGGAAAAATTGACAAGAATAATCTCACCTTTCACCGGTCTTCTCATAATAATCCCATCTTTACGTAATCTCAGAATAATCCCACATTTGCACCACATCTTCTTTCGTTGGACCCTGGCCTGTTGATGACCTGCTATACCAGGTTTTTTACCCTTTCTTTGAAAACCTTATATAAATAATCTCACCTTTCACAAATCTGCTCAAAACGGTCCCATGTTTCATTTTTTCTTTTTTCTCCCTAAAATTTTTCTTTCTTACCCAATACTATATTTTCATCCCTAGACCATTTTTATTACTTTTTCTATCATTTTGTTCTTATTTCGTTTTCACTTTTATTATTCTATTGCTCTTTTTTTTTGTGTAAATTTTGTTTTCAAAATAGCTCTTTTTTGTCATTTTCTTTTTCTTTTTGTATTTTTATTTCATTTCCCTTTTATGTTATTCTTCTTAACTATTCTCTTCTTATTAAAGATCTTATTTTAAAAGTGAAAATATAAAAGTGGAAAAGTGAAAAAAAAAACATAATAAAAAGTAAAGTGAGAAAAAGATCTTTAATAAGAAGAGAATGATTAAGAAGGAAAACATAAAGAGGGAAATGAAATAAAATACGGAAAGAAAAAGAAAACGACAAAAAAGAACTATTCGAATAGAAATTTTACAAAATAAAATCTCCTAATAGAGTAATAAATAGAATAATAAAAATGGAAAAGAAATAAGAACAGAAGGATAGAAAAAAGATCGAAAAAGGAATGAAAAGTGTCTAGTGATGAAAATAAGGAAAGAAAAATTTTAGGGAGAAAAAGAAAAAATGAAACATGGGATCGTTTTGAGCAGATTTGTGAAATGTGGAATTATTTATATAAGGTTTTCAAAGAAAGAGTAGAAAACCTGATATAGTAGGTCATCAACATGTCAGGGTCCAATGAAAGATGGAGTGCAAATGTGGGATGATTCTGGAATTACGTAAAGGTGAGATTATTATGAGAAGAACAGGGAAATGTGAGATTATTCTTGTCAATTTTTCCTAATAAAATTAACTTCAGGAGGGGTGATTATAAAAATCATAATAACAATAGCAACAATGGCGTAAAACAATAATAATATTACTACAATAAAAAACAAATAATAATAATATGATTAAATTAACAAGTAATAATCTACTTGATGATATTGCTTTACTATCATGTATATAACAAGAGTAGTAGTACTACTAATTATGATGATAGTAATAATAATAACAATAAGAAATAATCTCACATTTATGATTAAATTAAAGGTCTTTTACAAAAATGTACTACCTCCGTCCCATTTTATGTGTCACATTTGACTTTGGCACAATTATTAATGAAGTGATTGAAAAGGTAAAAGTTATGGTTGAGATTTGAGTATAATACAGTGAAATGTTGTGAACAACATATTTCTTTCCAAAAAGAAAAATGTGACACTTATTTTGGGACAACCCAAAAAGGAAAGTAAAACCGGTAAAATGGGACGGAGTAACATACTAAGTATAGTGACTATAGTAGTAACTTTAGTTATACTCCGTAGTTATTTATGTCCAATTTTTTACATTTAACTGATCATGGTATTACACTCATAATAATTATGTAATATTTTTGTAAATAAGTATTATTTGAGTAACATTTTTAAAAAACCACTAATAATAATAATTTTTATTATTATTATTATTAATATAGTAATAGAAATACTTCATGATAGGGTTGTTTGGGCTGTACTCTGTAGAGTGAGGGTCCACCTATCCACCATGGGGTTTCGAAAGAAACCCACATAGATACTCATGTTGAAAACAAGTCATACTTGAAGATTTTGATTATTGTTATTCGGTATAGATATTGCATAATGAAAAGAAATGATGTCTCAGTCACCATTCCCCTGCCTTGTATTTTTTCATCACCATTATTGGCAAAACAAAATGCCAACTATTTTGGACCTTACCACTTCAGGAGACACTAAATCAAACACACAGCACTGCCACCAACCTGTCCAACACATACACTCTGAGTGAAACTCATTGTTCCCCCATTCTTTTCAAATAACAAAAAAACAAAGCCAGTTAGTCTTGGTGGGTTCCAGATTCATTATGCTTCCTACCCACTCGACTTCAAGATTATTAACACGAACAAAAATATGGTATTATGAATAACCACCCCCAAGCTTACACTCAGAGCTAAAGAAACAGTAAAGATAATAAATCACAGTTGCAGAATGAGAAGTGAGGATAATGCATGCAGTGGAGATCAGTTACTTGGTCCAGGGGAGTGGTTGAGTTTGAGCTTGGGAAGAAAAGCCCCTTCAGAACCAGAGTTGTTGCCAGCCAGACCCATTGTCTCTGTGAAGCTGTTTTCATGCAACTACTGCAGGAGAAAGTTTTACAGCTCCCAAGCATTGGGTGGCCACCAGAATGCTCACAAAAGAGAAAGAATGGCTTTGGTCCCTCCCACACCTACTATGCATAAACAAACTAGAGATGACTGTAAGGCTGCAGCAAGGTTTAGATCACAGCCAAGTTATGCTCAGTTCAGAATGGCATGGCAGTCCAACCCAAAGGAGGGGGAAGAAGAAGAGGAGGAGGAAGGTTTGAAATGGCCTGGAAGTTTTCAACTTAGTCCACAAGAATCAGAAGAGCTTGACTTGAACCTGAAGCTCTAATTGTTGTAGAATATCAATCCACAGTAAACTTTCAAAAACTTTCTAACTTTTGAACCTGTCCATCTATGTTTTTTTCATAAACTACAACTTACCATGTCCTTATTTTAAAGGAGTAGTGCTTGGTGTACACGTTTTTTGTGTACACTTTTGGCATACTTGTCTGTCTGCGTAAACAGGGGCAGAGCCAGGGCACTTTTTGGAAAAAAAAATTACACGAGATTTTTTATCTTTAAAATATAGACATTTTTAAAATTTGGGGTGGACCGGGTCCAGGGTGCCCCTAGCTACGTCCCTGTGAGTATAAAGACAAGTGTGCTAAAGGTCTACACCAAAAACGTGTACATCAAGCATTTTTGTACACGTTTTTGTCAAGTTTATGCATATAGACAGTAACTCACACAAGTTTATATACTAAACTCATGTCAATACAGATTTCAATGCAATTGACGAAGTTGGAGGCTGTGCAGTGGCAGATGGTGTTTGGTGATCAGCGGTGGTTTTCTGGTGACTTTTTCCGGCGTTAGCTTTCCCGTGACTTTTTCCAACAACTTTTCTGTTTGGCAATTTTCTGGAAAATTTCCCGGTGATGGTGGCGATCATCTGGCGTCAGTCTGTGGTGGCAGTCAATAAAGTTGATGACCATATAGTAATCAATTGTGGATAGCAATTTTAGAATGAGAGTATTTTAGTCACATCATCATGTATTTAAAAGTCCTACAAGTTTTTATAATTATCCAGTTATGTTTTAGTTCTATGTAGTTAAATTATCTTTTTTCCTCAACTCTCTCTTTCCTTCCAAATTATCGCTTCCCTATTTTATAGGTAGTATTACAAACGGACCATACATGTTACACAGTATAAATGTTCCCTAGTACAAACGTACTTTAGTACTTACGTACCATGAATATTCCCTAGTATAAACGTATTATACTCATTTTGCCTTGAATAAAAAACTATTGTTTTGTTGATATATATATGTGCAAACGCCTAAAAAGAAACTTAATGAGAGAACAAAACATAATACAGAGAATTAAAAGATAAGAAAGATGAGAAAGATATATAAGAAAGATAAAAATGAGAAAGATTAAAAAAAAAAGATAAAGATAAGATAAATATAAATACTCCGTATATGATAAAGATAGAAATGATAAGATAAAAAAGATAAAAATACAAGAAAAAAAAGATAAAAGGATTTAACATAAGAAAAATAAAAACTAAAAAGATAAAAGGATAAAAAAGATGAAAGAGATCAATCGTCGTGTCATTTCTGATGGGGAATAATTACACCCCTAGTAAATAAGAACAAGATGAAAGACTTTCAACCATTTTCACAGTTCAGAAATACAAAGCAGATACATACCTTCAGCTGCACTCGTAAGATATCTGAAAGCTTTATTTATTTACTTCCGCAATAATCATATCCATAAAAGCCATATGTAAACTTTCAGCCAAACAAGATCTGGGTAATGTTTAGCAGTAATAAAATCCTCCAGAATTTAACTGAACATGAAAGGCAAAACCGAACACAAATTATTCAGACAAAATTTTAAAAATATGAAGTATAAAAGTAAAAGGATACAATAACACCACATCTGCATCCAAAATCAACTGAGTTGGGAGTGAAAAAGTTGGAGATTTGCAGACCTTTCTGCATTAACCTGCATTCCTTCACAAAGACATCATTAGGATTGCCTTTTGCCATTCAATAGGACCAAAGTACCAACCGTAATTACTAGCCTAGTTCTGCACTACATTATGGAGCTCGAGTTGAAGGGTATAGACAGTTGCTTGTCAAATGTTGATGGCACACTACACATGAGTTTCTGTTTAAACATTTAATCTGATGCTTCTTCGTGCTGGCAGAGAGTTTTTCTTCTTATCAACTTGGGTTTTATGATTCTTTGGCTTCTTAATTACTACCTGAACTTTGATTAGATGCCTGTTCAATGGCAGCATTGGATCTAAATTTGGATTCTGGGCTGGTAATATCCTTTTCGTTACCAGTCTATTGTAACCCTTTTGCATCTACCATAGAGACGTTTCTTAGCAGCAGGTCTGCAGGCGTGGTTTGTTTGTTTCTGATCATGAATGGTGAAAGGACCACATTGTAGTTTAAAACCATTTTTTACCTGTAGTGTATATAAAATATCATATTATCATTTTAGAAGTGAAAAACATAGTAAGTTCCCATATGGAAGGGCAACTTTTTTCAAGTAATATCCCTTGTTCAGCAGTGTTTTATCAATCTATAACTTACTTCTGTATCAGCTGATAATGAAAAATTGTAGTGCAGAAGATACACTTTGGGTTGAGCACCGCAATTTTAATTATATAGGTATTATTTCTTTAGTTTATTTAAAAAAATAAGTGAAAGGTGTTAATAAGTCAGTAGATTAAGCCGATTCGTCCATTGCAATCACAACTTTTCAGCAGATGCAACCGATTATTTTGGGCCTTAGTTACCTTACCAAACAGAATCTAAAGAAACAAGAGTTACAGAAAAAATAAATGATTATACTTTTGGGCCTTAATAAATGATTACCTGCAGGAGTGTCGGTCATGGTTCTCTATCTAAGCTCTCCTTGGCTTATCATTTTGGATAGTGATTATACTTGAAGGATTCGAGTCTCTGCAATCTGCATCATAGGAAACTTTAGGTTTATATACCACACTAAATAAATGAGCAGATGTTAGAGGTCATGATGCTCTTATGAACATATTTATTGAACTGGTTCAAGCATAAATTTTAATTTTTGAAACTTATGAGGATGAAAGATTTTTAAGGTTAGGGGCCTGGCTAGGATCATTAATAAATCTAGCATTAGCCTATTTGCATAAAATACAATCCAAGCATTTTTGAAGAAAACATATACTACGTATTAGATCTCAGTTCTCAATTAGAAGTAAGCTTTATGAACAAACATTAGTCAAAGCGAATCTCACTAAGCTACACTAAAGGTGCCACTGCAGTTTCTCAAGCTGAAATCATTAACAAATCATTACTGCCTTAATCACATCTTCACCATACTTTAGCCTGATGCTTATTTACTAATTGACCCAGGTTCAGATGCCACCAAGCTTTGATCCTTGAGCTTCTTCCAAGATGATTTATTAACATTCTTGACTGTCGCATGTACTTGAGTTTGATAATATCACTTTAGAGCAGCTTGGTCACATTGCTTTCTTCATTTAATGGCTGAATTATCCTCATAAACTTCGAAGGTCGAGTCGGAAGAGGCAATTCTGTAATCCGTATGTTTCCTACATATGCCAAAGGATTAAGATGCCAGTATGCAGTCTTACAGATTCAGGTCTAAAATAACTAATTAATATTGCAAAATGAAGCATACAGTTGTACAAAACTAAGAGTTAAGTCTGACTACAACTTATTGCTTTGGTAAGGTACAATTATCATAACTCACAAGTCATACTCCGTAAGTTTGCATGTTTAACTAAAGTTATCCTACGTAATCTGTTATGACTCTTTCTTGACAATTCACACAAAAAGTAATTCTGTTTTATCAAGCTGACTAAAAAAATAGTGTTCGAAACAATACATTTTTATGGGAAGGGTTAAAGATTACAATGGAGATATATTGCCAAACATTGAAAAGGTTGAAGCTTGTATGATGACTTGTAGGGTAAATCATAAACTCAAAATTTTAGAGGCAAAGCATGCAATGACTATAAAGAAGAAACTTTGATAGATCACAACAATTTCACAGAAGAAATACAGAAACAATATAGAAGAAATCTCCAGAACTTTATTGAATGTAACAAGCAACAATGGCCGAAGCCTCCCAAAAGAGAGAGACAGTGAATCTCAATCTTTCCCAGTCCAGACTACAACAGTCTAACAGCCTACCCACTCACCTCAGCCATCCTTCTATTTATAGTAGTTAGAACACAGAAGGTAGTTATTTAGTTATTAACAAACTATAACTAATAACTAGCAGCTTATTTCTTCCTTCTAGAATACACCCGGCCAAAATATTTATCTCTAGTGTTCGAAATAGCTTTGCTTCTATCAAACTTACATGAGTACATCCAGCAACAGTGAAATCCGACATCTACACATGTGCTCTCCCAGATGCAAAGGCGCCATCAGACTGGAAAAAGAATTCTACTTCACCCTTCAAAGAGTGAGCTATTCCACGGTTTCCACCTACCTTATTTTTTAACTAAGGTCTATTGCTCTTTCTTGTCCAGGTGAGGTGTTGTTTAATAATACTACACCAAAACCCTTCAAAAAGCATGTTTGGTGGTTCTGCTGAATCCTCAACTTGAGAAGTGGTATCCTTGTTTTCAAATAGCACTTGTAGTGGAACTCACCCACATTTTTTATGGCAACTTTTTATCTATGATGTAATCCGTAAAGATATGTCCAGTGGGTAATAATATTGCATGCTCTGTAGAAGACTCAAATGTTATGACTAATCTCCCATGGTCCTGAGAGTTTGGGGATTTTGACACCAAACTTGCAACTCTTTGAGAGGTTCTGCTGAACATTTAACTGCAGAATTAGTCATGTCTTTGGCAGAAGGATACCCCCCCCCCCATCTTTGTGTTTTCTCTAGACATCTGCTATTTCCTGCTCTCTTCTGCTTTTCATTGGAATCTACAGACATTATATATTCAAGAGATACTTCACCTACTAAATCAAATTCTTCTGCCATGTTCTGCCTTAAGAGCTTGGACTTGGTACTTTGTCAATCAAATTTAGTCACAGCAATCGAAAGTGTCTTCTCCTGAACCACAATGTACAGTTTCAATTGTTTCAGATTTTGTTTCTCCAAAAAATCCAAGCCCATATCAGAATGGTTTTGGTACTGTTTTTTCAAAAGACCAATCTAAAATAACGTCATGCACTAAAAATAAAATAGATATCTGATTGTACTATAATGAAGTGCTGCTACTATTGATGATGGAATATTTAAGACATTTTTTACTACCTCCATCCCTAAACTATTAACTATCCACTCTCTCTCTCTCTCTCTCTCTCTCTCTCTCTCTCTCTCTCTCTTATGTATGTCCCAAAATGGTCCATCATTTCTTTTTAAGGAAAGCATTTTGTGATTCATATTATAGCTCTATCTTCTAAAAAACATTCAACCAGACAGTATTCCTTTTCTCAAACTTTGTGCCAGTCAAACTTACACTTTCAATTAGGGACATAAAGAGTATTACATTTCAAACTAGCATACAAGAAGTTTTTGTGTGGGGCGCATTGGGTTGAAAACAGAACCAAGACCATCCAACTTTTTTGCCCGAAACTGAATCGAAATTCTAGTTTGGAACTAGTGTAGGAGCGGCCAAATTCTGGTTGGTCTAGCCATGGACAACAATGTTTGGATCTGGTTCTACTTCCAAAAGTTTTCTGGCCAGCAGATTTAATCGGACTTGAAGACAATACCCGTTACCAAATTCGAATTGAGGTTCTTTCAAGTGGGGATCTGAACCGATTAAAACAAAAACAGACTGAAATTGACAGGTGACCAGTGGTGGAGATAGGGAGGGGCGG